AGGAAACGTTCTTGCTGGCTCATAGGTAATATAAGAGAAAATAACTAGTTGTTCATAAAATGTTTTTATTTAAATTTATCAGAAGGTGACCTGTAGCCAACTTAAAGGGCACGTTCCTCTACACAGGTGTGCATGGAAAATGAGACCTTTCAATCAGATTCAAAGGGTGGATGTGTTAATAACAATCAATATAATAACAGACAAACACAAAGGTATGGCATTTCATACTGATGGTTTTTAATTATTTTTCTATACACCACCATCACTCTCCAAACTAAGGGAAGTTAGTGTGGTCTTGATATTATTCTTCTCAAAATAGTCAGATCAGATGCAGATTAATTTTTGACATCAAATTTCATTTTTTAAATAGCCTAATATTTTCTCCAAAGAAGACATTAAAAAACTATTTAAGTTACGGCATTTCAATTCTAGCCAGAATGTTAAAATATTTTTTATATTTCAATGTCATTTAGAAATGCAAATAAATTATATTTAACACATTGGGTTTTATATCTATTAATGGATAGTTATTAACTGTACTCTTAGTAGACTTTATTAGGTTCATCTACAATGATGTATATTATAAGACTGTATAAGTTCATGTATAAAACATAAGACAGTAAAAATCTGGCAGATTTCAACCTGAGCTTGTTTTCACCTTGCAGAGAGTTCTTACAGACTTCAAAATACCACTTTTTAGTCTGTAAAAAGCTTCTACTGTTTAATAGTACTGAACACTGGCAGAGAGAAACTATAAATAACTTCTTACATGCTTAAAAAATAGTACTTTCTAAGTAGCAGAAAATGTATTTTTATAACTTTCCAGTCTTTTCAACTTAGAAAATAATCTGTACTCTTATTCTGTATTCTTCGTGAGCAGCTGTGAACAGAATCTTGGCTATTTAAGGGGCAGGGGAAACAACAGAATCTCAGGACTGGAAGTGCTCATCATTGAATGGAGCAAACTAATATTCAGTCTACATAAGCGAGTGACTTTTAAGTACAAAACTCAGACTGGGGGGGTAAAAAAAATTACAGAAAGAAAAAAGGACTTGAGAAGTCAGCACAGTCTACGGATCGCTACCTCAGGCCTCGAGTGCTCTGGAATACAATAGAAAACACCCAGTGGGGAAAAGAAGCAATTTAGGAGTCAGCCAGAAGTTGCAGTGCGTGGCATTTAAGGATTTACCTAACCCCAGCCTCTCTCTCATGATTCAGAGGAAGCTCGTGAAGGAAGCTGCAAGTTGTTCTTGGAGGCAGCAACCAAATACACAAAAATACAGGTCATAGTTTTCATTCAGGTGTCAAAATTAAAGCTGTTTTAACCAAGTCAGAAGCCTTCATAAACTCTTCCAAATTCAAAGTGGAGATTCATAGTTACACATTTAACCAAGTCAAAAAAACAAAAAAGGTGGGAAGCTCACCTAACTCAGCCTCCTTGTGCTTTACAAAGAAAATTTGTTTCTTGACTTTAAACTCAGAAAAGCACCAGAGTAAGAAGTACTTTGTGATTGCATCCAACTTGCAAAGATAATTCAAATAGTATGAAAACTCCTTTTTTTTTTAAAAAAAAATGATAGGTTGCTACATTCAAAGCCTTAAATCAAAACTGGCAGATGAGCCCTGGCCAGTTTGGCTCAGCAGTTACAGCATCAGCCCGAGGACCAGAGTCTCAGGTTCAATTCCTGTCAAGGGCATGTACCTCAGTTGTGGTTTGGTCCCAGCCCTAGTCAGGGTCATGCTGGAGGCAACCAATCGATGTGTCTCTTTCAAGTCGATGTTTCTCTCTCTCTCCCCCCACCCTCCTCCCACTCTATCTGAAGATAAATGGAAAACTATCCGATGGAACTAGGTGAGGGTTAAAGAAAAAATAATAATAAAAAAATCTAGCAGATGAAAGAGGGGTTCATGGCGGGAGGAAGAGTGAGGCAGGAATGTATCCCCCAGCTAATCACGGGCACCCCTCACAGGTGGAGGCATGGGCAGATGACAACAGATCTAGCTCAGACCCACCCTCTCAAGTTCTTGGACTTCCTCTGATGCCACGAGCAGAGCAAAGACAAGACGGACCCTCTGGATTTCACACGAAGGAGAGGACAGGGACAGCTACGCTGCTCTACAAAAAGCTTTGCTACAGACAGCGCTATTTGTTAGATTACAGCAAGAAAAACATTCTGACTTGATTCCAGAGTCTGTATCATCCCCTGCTGTGGCAGAGATAAGTCTTAGTCACATAAAGGTTTTGTTTCCTCCCTAAAGGCCATTTTTCATGAATGCAGTAATATCATCAATTATCATGGATAACCAACCACCCACACACCTGTGGTACACGCATGCTGAGTAACACCTAAGGATTCGTGGGATTTTGTACTTTGAGAGCCATGTAATTTAATTTAATGATTACTTACTGGGAAGTGGCCTTCAAAGCAAGAGCCAAAAAGACTGGTTTTCTTTGGGCTTTCAACATACCTTTGCAAGAGGACAGAGAGTACAGTGCTCTGACTACTCTACACAGACATTAGTATCTGATCAAGGCCTTAAGCAAGCCTTACGTACTGGGCCTGCATATAAAACAGAAAATAATTTTTCAAACAAGTCACGTAATATTTTCATTATAGAAAGTACCCCCAGCCCTGGCCGGTTTGGCTCAGCGGTTAGAGTGTCGGCCTGCGGTCCCAAGAGACCCGGGTTTGATTCCCGCTAAGGGCACGTACCTCGGTTGCAGTTTGTCCCCGGCCCTGGTTGGTCGTGCGGGTGGCAGCCACTCGATGTGTCCCTTTCACATCGATGTTTCTCTCTCTCTCTCTCTTCCTCTCTCTCTCTTCCTCTCTCTCCCTCTCACTCTATCTGAACAAAAAATGGAAAAATGTCCTCAGGAGAGGATTAAAAAAAAAAAAAAGAAAGTACCCCCAAACAGCCTATCTTGAGGAGAGCTATGAAATCGAAACAAGGAAAATGTAGTTGGGTATTTTGTCGATGGCGCCGTGTACAGGAACGGTTTACTGCCTTCAGTCTACAGACTTGGAAAGTTTGTCTCAATGTGCTTTTATAAAAAAGAATATCTAACAGTGTCTTGCATTTTGTGCATTTTTTATAGTTCACCAAATCAAAAGCACAAAAAGAACCAACGTGTTCAAAGCTGAAAGTACCACTCTCTCTCAATGTTTACATGTTGAGTCATGAGTACATTAATCATTTCATAGAAGTCAAGTTAACCTTCCAAAGGAAAATGGGCACATATGCATTTTTAACCTCAGGAAAATCAGTACTTCATTTTTCCAGCTCATGATACTGCTCCTGGGTATTAGATACCAGTGAGAAAAACAATGCAAAATAACTACCCTGTATCAACAACCCATCACTCGTATATATATCCAGTGAACATTCCATCTAAGATATTGACTCACCAGTAAAAATAAGAGTACTCAGGAGTTATTGCCCCCCACCCTGTCTAAAAGTATTCAAAGCAATTCCTCCTTAAATCACTCATCCTTCAAAATTTAGCTCAACCATCCCCTCCTCTATGTAGCTTTCCTTGATCCCACACTAAATTGTGGGCTCCTTAAAGAGACTACATCACATTCTTTATTTAGCACAGTGTAGAGGATGGGGGGGGGGATGGGCAAGTGTTAATAGTCATGTAAAGAAACCGGGGGTACACATATTCTTTCTGATTGGTGTTTCAGGCTTCTTAGGATATATTCCTAGAAGTGGGATCACTGGGTCAAATAGCAGTTCAATTTTTAATTTTTTGAAGAAACTCCATATTGTTTTCTATAGTGGCTGTACCAGTCTGCATGCCCACCAGCAGTGTGCTAGAGTTCATAGCAGAAGTATTTATAATAGCTAAGACCTGGAAACAGCCCAAGTGTCCATCAGTAGATAAGTGGATAAAAAAGCTGTGGTACATATATACAATGGAGTACTATGCAGCTGAAAGGAAGAAAGATCTCTTATCATGACATGGAGGAACCTGGAGAGTATTATGCTAAGTGAAATAAGCCAGGCAGAGAAAGACAAATATCACATGATCTCACTTATTTGTGGAATATAATGAACAAAATAAGCTGATGAACAACATAGAACCACAGACATGGAAGCAGGGAACAGACTGACAATCCTCAGAGGGAGAGTGGGTAGGATGGCAAAAAGAGATAAACCAAAGAACTTATACATATATGCATAACCTATGGACACAGGCAACAATACTGTGAAGGAGGGAGGTGACGGGGGAACAAGACAGGGGAGGAGGGTATCAATGGGAGAAAAAGGAGAAACATCTGTAACAAAAATTAATTAATTAAAAAAATTTTTTTAATGAAATAGAAAAATCTCATGTATATTTTATTTTAAAAAGGAAAGAAAAAGAAACCTTTTACCATTGTCTGAATAGCTTTAAAGAGCAAAGCATCTTCTTAGGGTAAAGTACCCTAGGTTGGTCAGCACTTAATGAATAAATATTAACAATAATGAGAAAGAGCCTCAGGTGCAATTAAGTCTCTAAGAAATTCCAGGGATTTATAAGAGACACAGTCTTGTCCTTGTACTGTGAGGTCATTTTTGTCCCATAGTTTAGTCTGTTATTTATTACACGTGTGAAGTCATTTGGGCACAAAATAAAGAAGGAAGAAATGAAATGTATATTTTACAATGTGTTAGAAATTTTCAGTCTCTTATTTGAAAAATATTCCCGTAAGAAAGATAAATATATTTTTAATTTTTAAATTATTTTAATTTTAATTATTTTAATTTTGAAATAAGGAATTGAAACTTTGGGCAAAAATGGTCTTATGGAAAAACCTACATAGACTGTGTTTGTTTTAAAACACAATCGAAATACTAAAGCACATGGACATCATGGGAGATAAATTAGAACTAATCACCTAAAGAGAGGACTTTTATAAGTAAATCATAGTTAGGATTCTAATATTATAATTGATTTTTTATATTAGGGTAAATTATTCTACATGAGTCTATAAATCATCAAAAAATGGGTGGCCTTCCGCAGCCGCAGCCATTGAGGAACAACAGCCATGGCTCTGCGCTACCCGATGGCCGTGGGCCTCAACAAGGGCCACAAGGTGACGAAGAACGTGAGCAAGCCAAGGCACAGCCGCCGCCGCCGCGGGTGCCTCACGAAGCACACCAAGTTCGTGCGGGACATGATCCGAGAGGTGTGTGGCTTTGCCCCCTGTGAGCGGCGTGCCATGGAGCTGCTCAAGGTCTCTAAGGACAAGCGGGCCCTGAAATTCATCAAGAAAAGGGTGGGGACACACATCCGTGCCAAGAGGAAGAGAGAGGAGCTGAGCAATGTCCTTGCAGCCATGAGGAAGGCAGCAGCCAAGAAGGACTAAACCCCATCACATGTAATAAAATCTGTTCAGAAAAAAAAAAAAAAAATGGGTGGCTTAGTTGGTTGGAGTGTCATCTCATGCACCAACAGGTTGCGGGTTTGATTCCCAATCAGAGCACATACCTAGGTTGAGGTTCAATACCCTATGAGGGCATATATGGGAGACAACCAATTAATGTTTGTCCCTCAGAGGGATGTTCCTCTCTCTCCCTCTGCCTCCCTCTCTCTCTAAAGTCAATGAAAACATATCCTTGGGTGAGAATTTTTTTTAAATGGTTCTAGAAATAACACAGTTCCTATTGGCAGCAGAATTTAATAAATTACTATTTGGGGGCCAGATTTATGCAAGAAATAGAAGTAGTAAAACATTAGCAAAATATAAAAAAGGCAGATGATATCAAATTTATTTCTCTAAGGTCCATTTTGTAGAGCTTTTCAAACATAACTTCAATGGATTGTTATCATTGTAATTAGCTAGTTATTAATAATAGAAAGGAGCAAAAGGGAGGCCAGACATTATAAGCGTGGTCATGTTGGCACCTTCACCAGGAAGCTGCATTCATACTCCCCAGGGAACCAGTTCATCCCCTGCAGAACACGGGGGGCAGGGGTCCAACAAAGAGGAGAAGGACACATGTGCAGTGAAGCTGGGGTGGTAGGGAAGGTGCTTCTCAGTCAAATCTGGGAACAGAGATCATGGGTCAGAGGGGGCAAAGCCACTACAAGCCCATGAAAATGTGGGAACACACAATCCCCCAGACAAAGAAGTTCGCTCTCTTGGCTCTTGGCTCTCTTGTTCCTCCGGCTTTGCCCCTGCCTGTGTTAACCTCCATAGTCATGTGGCCCTGCGAACCCCACACACAAAAGACTGATGAACCACAGCTGGGAACACAAACTAAGCTGGCCTGATGCTGGGTTGGACTGTAAACTCTGGGCAATGGCTTTAACCCTAGATCTGCTGAAAGCAAAATGGGGCTTCTTCCTTGGTGGGACAGAGGGAAATGGGACCTTGGAAACTCAGTGGTTTGATTCCACAGAAATACAGCTTTCTACAATATCTCATCCTCCCAGGTGAGTCTCAGAAATTTCCTTTCCTCATGACATCGCAAGAACCCACTTCCCCAGGCAACAGGTGGAGACATGGAAAGCTCCCCACTGATAACAGGATTGCTTCATCACTGAAAAATGTCTCAGCTACAAAGGCAATCCCGAGTTCTGATCTTGGCTCTGTCACCTGCTAGCTACGTGGTTTTATTCATTTCTCCAAGCCTGTATTTTCTCTCACTCCAGGCCTCCCCTCTCTTGCTGACCTTCAGGCCCTCACAATCTCTGACCTTCAAACTTTTGTCTGGCCAAATCTTAAGCTTTAGGTCTCAGCTCAGACATTTAGCTCCATAAACATTTAGCTCCCTATCCACTACCACCCTCCAGGGAGGGTGAAGGCCCACTACAAACGTCTCACACTGATTTAAATACACGCAGACAGTCTTTCTCCTCCTCTGTTCTGTAAGCTTCATGAGGGAAGCATTTCTCTCTGGCAGCTTCAAGAGTGTCTGGTACTTAGCAAGTGATCATTAAATATTTCTGAAATACAAAGTGTCTGGAATGGTTCATAAAAGGTTTCAGTCAATGGAAATCTATCGATCAATCCACTGAGGTTAAAAAGAACTTTATGCAATTGGATTTCAAGGTGGTCAATACGAGAAGTCTATTTAAGTAACATTTCTGGTCATTCACAAAACCATGGTTGCAGACATTAACCATTATGCTTCCGAATGTCCTGCTCCATCAAACTAAAGAGATAAATTTCCCCTGGACAGAAAAACATTTATATCTCTAGACAGGCAGATAAACTTCTTTTATTAGATAATGGGAATTATATACTCCAGTATGTGGCCTTTCTCTCTTAACTATCAGAAAAATAAGATCTAAATTCAGTAAAACTGTAATTAACTCATTTCAGATATTGAATCCTATGTGCTTTTCAATGTTTTACCACGATTAACTTCTGCTACAATTTTTATACATTGATTTGTCTTCAAAATACCAAGAGTTCTGAAGAATGAATCAAGTTTTATTAGCCTACATTCTGCATTGGGGTGGACATCTGCAAAGGGTCTCTTTTAATCCACTGGCCAAGAAATAGTCTTTTAATCCACTAGACAGGTCTTTTACATCCTAAATTAAATAAACAGTACAATGTGATCCCTTTAGATTTCAAAAAGGTCAGTATGAGAAGTTTATTTAAGTAACATTTCATGTCATTCACAAAATTAGGTATCTTTGATTTTGCTAGAAATTCTTTGATGCCATTTTTTTTTCCTCCTTGGTGCTAGGGGCTATAACCATAGACTCCTCCCTTCTAGGAAATCACAGTCTTTTCATCTCTTGACACTTAGAGAATCTAAATCCAGCTCCTATGGCCCTCCTGATTCCCCCAGCCTGGTGTTTACTCTCCCTGGGTCCTAGTCATCCACAGTAATTATTATCAACAGGCAAGAGGGCAGGGGGTAAGGCAGTCACTTAGCACAGACAGAGGCTAACATCCACTGCCCTTTACTACCCAAGAGTTATACTATATCTTGTCCACCTATGAAAATCAAGACTCAATACCTAAATGCTAGTGGTTTCATTATGATTTCATTTTTACTGCTTCTGCTATTATGTTTTATAATTGTATAATTACATATAATTATGTTTTATGTTTTATAATTATGAAGGTCATTCTCAAACCACTTTGAAAGTAGGTCAGATACACCATCCCACCAAAAATAGAACTAGAACCTATTTAGGCAATCCTTAATTTACTATAAATTTTTTCAAGCATTTCTGGACCGGACCTACCAGATGGGTCATCAAAAGCAAATGATAACGCCCTGGCCAGTTTGGCTCAGCGGTTAGAGCATCAGCCTACAAACTGAAGGGTCAAGGGTTTGCTTTCCAGTCAAAGGCATGTATCTGGGTTGCAGGTTCATTCCCCAGCTCTGGTTGGGGTTGTGCAGGAGGCAGCTAATTGATGTCTCAATCTCTCTCTTTCTCTCTCTCTCCCTTCCTCCTTTACACTCTATCTAAAATCAATGGAAAAGTATCCTCAGGTGAGAATTAACAAACAAACAAAAAAAGCAAATGATAATGATAACACCCAAAGCATTCAATATAGGGTTAACTCTTCAACCAGAAATGCCCGAGGAGACCTAATAGGTGTGCATTTGATCAGAGAAAATATGGCAAAAAGAAGAGCTACTTGGCACTACAGAATCAAAATTTGTAGAACTAGACAGGAAAGGATATCTTAAGGAGAGAAAACCCAGTAACTCATTCCTGCCAGCACAGGAAACTGTAGACTGCTACTGGGCCTCTAGGACAAATAAAAAGCAGCAATGCTCACTGACATCATATTGTACATCACAGTGGCAATCGATACTAATGGCAACTTCGGGGATCTCTGCCTCTTAAGATTCCTTATCACAGACAACACCAAAACTACCAAAACAATTCCACTCTTCCTAAAGCACATAAAGGTAAAAGAGACCATAATCTCTCAGAATGCACTAGGAAATTGTAGCAGAAGTATTAACTATGAGAGACAAACAGATTTGCCCATTACCAAGGAGCAGCTTAATGCTGAATGTCTCACTGCAATAAGTAAGCACTAAATGAATGTTAGGATGTGTATACATTTGCCAGGGCTGCCTTTAGAAAGTACCACTGGTGGCTGAAACAACAGAATCGGATTTCCTCACAGTTCTGAAGGCTAGAAACCGCAGGTCAAGGCGTGGGCTGGGTTGGTTTCATTCTGAGGCCTCTCTCCTTGGCTTGCAGATGGCCGCCTTCTCGCTGAGTCCCCACACAGTACTGCCTTTGCCTCTGTGCACACACATCTGTGTTCAAATTTTTCATTCTTATAAGGACATCCGTGACAATTGAATTAGGGCCCCACCCTAAAGACTGCGCTATAACTTGATTACCTCTTTAAAGTCCTGATTTCCAAATATGGTTACTTTCTGGGTGTTCGGATGGCAATATATGAATTTGGGGGGGACACGATTCAGCACGTAACAGATGGTCTACTCAACAAACAGGATTATTTTAAGTCCTGTTGGGGCCGTCTGCATTTTCTTTATATTGTTAAAAATTGACTGAAATTGTTCAATTCTTTTTCCTCACTTAATCTGAACAGATGAGCAATCATTAGAATTATGCCTGGTTCACTTGTAAACTGATAGTCCAATGCTGTGATCAAAGCAGCTACATAAGAAGACTCCAGATGGACAGCTCGTGCTGAATGCCAGCGCATGACTGAGTCTCTCCAGGCCTTCTGCTGCTCAGCTGTACAACGGAGGTTATCACATCCTCCTCGCAGGATTATTAGAGGAACTTAAAATGAAGAACGTGGGTAAAGGGCTTAGCTCAGGGTCTATCCCCATCATAACTATTGTAATAGAAAGCCTTCCTTGTGCAGATTGAATTTAGGAAATAAAGATTTAGCCCGTGAGTTAGCTGCATCTTAAAAGACACAGAGTTCCTGAAATGGAGAGCTATGTTACACACCATCCCTAACTCCTTCAGACTAAAACCCAGATTGGTGCCTGAGCTGGCAACCTCAGCAGCAAGCCTGAGACTGAAACCTGGGTCCTGAAAAGCTAGTGCCTTCCCTGCTTTCCTGGCCCAGAGGTGTAAGAGGAATTTCAGCAGCGAAACTGGTGGGCGGCCGAGAGTAGGAGAGAAGCGTGGGGTCAGCACCAACATACATGGCCAACCCATCGTGGCTCAGGAGTCACACAAACTCACGAGCCCAGGCAGACGACTCGCAAACTCACGAGCCCAGGGAGAAGACACGCAAACTCACAAGCCCTGCAGTGGACACGACACCCAGCCTGGGGCTGGAGTCCAGGTCAGTCTGCTGCACACTCACCTCCAGCCACCGCTCCTAACTCCTGGTCCTCGTCACTCTCAGAGTCAGCAGGGCTGTTTCTTCTGCACATGTCCCTTCTTCCAAACCAAATTTAAGTTCATATCTCCACATTTG